GTTCAAACTGCATTTGCTGTGGTGCTGAGGCACAATGCTGTTTGGGTGGTCTTCTCAGCGTGGTTTTGGGAGGGATCCTTCCCATACCAGTCACAGATATTAGGAGTGTTTGCAGAACACAAGACTGTACTGCAGGATGGGAAGATCTGCTTGTTTTCCTTACCACAACTTGAAGTATGACGATAACTGGTATTCAAGAGACCTTTTTCTTTGGGGAAGACAGATGAAGAGAAGGCTGGCTTCTGTGCCAGATTTTTTTTTCCTTGTTGTGAATGGGGAGGGGGGTGAAAGAGATTATTCCTAAATCTTGTGTGTTTAATCCTGCTAAATGCTGCTCTCTCTGATCTTACTGATTAACATTTGAAGCCTATAAAGCTAGGGTATCAGTTATTTGAAACTAGTGGCATATAAACATTTTAATTAAAAGGAAAAGAAGAAAGGGGGGTGAGGAGGAAGACTGGTATCACAGTGCCCASTCTGTGGGGAAGGGATGTCCACAAGTGTTTTGTACAGAGTATTGGAAGATGTGGCTCTTTCTTCAGAGAACTTGATGTCCAAAAGATTTGTCCTGTCTTGCGTTAGTGTTCTACAGYTTCAGCTCTATATGCTTTATAGGAATGTCCTTTACATATTTTTGGCTTGCTRCAGAGAGGAATTTACTCAGAGGATGTGCTGTGGTGAGGGAGGAGAGGTAGGACCTGTAGCAGCAGCAGAGTAAAAGGGCATTATTAGATGCATGAAGTTGTGTATTACAGGAGTAACAGGAACAGGTAGACTTTAGGCACTTAATTTGTAGGAAAAGGAGGACTTAGTGTGCAGAGCTGTGTGCTGCCATGCTTTAGTGCAATAAACATCTTTAAGAAAAGAATTAGAGGTAATTTCAGTTGAAGTTTAGCAATTTTTAGCTAATACAAAAAGAGGCTGTTTATTCCTTAATCTTCAACATAGTGTATATTCTGGGGTTGCACTGAGAGAAGTTGTTTAAGGCTCTTGCAGTTCCCTCTTGTCTGCTTCCTTCTCATTAGTTCTCACACAACTGGTTATACAACTATACTGTAAAGCAAAGCAGGAGTGTACTTAAAATACTGTAAAGAGCTGTTTTGGTTTTTTTTTTTCTTCAAGGTGAATCAATTATTCCGCATTCAGAATAACCTTCAGAATTCATAGCATTACCCTGTGAATGCTGTGCAGCCACAGCTTTGGAGGAACAGGCGGAGCCCACAGGCATTTCCAGGAACTTGACAAGCTCCATGTTTATTTTGTGAGACCTCAAACCCAGGGGGACAAGCATGTAGTCATGCTGATCCCAAGACCTTGTTGTCACTTCAGTTATGAAGCTGCTTCAAGTTTCATACTGAAGCCAAGCAAGGAGACCATTTTTGAAATTGCAGATGGTGTATGCACTTGGGATTTATTTTACTGTAGGCTTGATGCTCAGCAAGGGCTTGCTGCCCCTAAAAAGAGTTGTCCTATTTTTAGCCATGTCGCTTCCTGTACACTGAATGTCAGTTCTCTGGAGTTGATCTTCTATCAGATCAGCAAGCTCTCCAGTGCACCAGAACAAATACTCATGTTGTTTCCATCAGATGGCTGAGCTGATGTGGCTGGGAGCAGGGGTGCAGTGGCCAGAGCTCATCCCTCTCRCAGAGCTGTTTGGGCTCAGGGATACTGTAGGGAATTATGGACAGTTTTGAAACAAAAATCAKCTGAAGCCGAGCCAAGAACTGGGCTGATGGGAGGTCCTTCCTCCCCCAGTAACATCTGTTCCATGATCTCTTGCTGTTGTGTTTGCTGTGCTGGGGCCAGAGTCCGGCTGCTCTGCTGCCCRGGCGCTGAGGAGGAGCCGTCCCTGTGGCTGTGCTGTGTCATCCCGGCCCTTGCCCTCCTGCAGGAGTGCCTGTGCAAGGAGACGCATGGCTCACGTGCATGGCACCAATTTTCCTTCTCTTTTCAATGCCTGKTTTTGGCTAGTGATTCTCCTAATTCTTCAGGCCTGCTCTGCTGCTGAAACAAGCATTTCCAGGTACCTGCAGCTAGACCCCCTCTCTTCCTGCCCAAGCACCACACATGTGACAAATGAGCTCAGAAATCAGTCTGTGTTGAAACTAATTGGCCGAAAGTGGAGTGGTTAATTTTTTAAAGTTTGATCACTTCCTTGTTTCATTTTGGTGCATGTGAGCGCTGAAAGGGAGGGCAAAGCATGCGAGAGCTTAATATACGGGTTTGGTATTCTGTGGCTTTAGGGTTCAAATAGATGGGTTCAACCACGCCAGCAGCTTACAGGCTGCTAAAACCTGTGTTGTCCCTCCTGATCACATGTCCTCCCTCATATCAGTTCTAGAGGCTGTCCTGTCTGTTGTACTTTCTGCTTGTTGTGTTTTTGCATGTGAACTGATTGAGTTCTCTGAACTGTCAGAAAACTTTGTGTTGGTGATGGTTCTTTTTTTCCCTGGTGGGTTTTTTTGGCAGCTTGGGGTGCTAATTGTGTGGGTGAAGGGGATTGTACACAACTGTTCCCTTTGAACCCAACAAGTTGTTGTCTTGATGCAACTTCTTTCTCATTTGACTTCATAACATTRCATCAATTTGATCCTATCTCTTATTCATTGTATTTCTCAAATATTAGCAACCAATGAAAGATCTTCCGCTTCCTGTGGCCCTTATTAAAACCCTGCAGAAGAATCCTTGGCACTTCCCCTTGGAGACTGAAGTGTTCTGGAGCCTCATGCCAGTGGCTTGTGCTTTGACTGGTGACAGGATCCACTGGTTAATGAGCTTGGGAACTGGCTTAGCTGGAACTCAGGCCAGCTTTTCTTGTTTTTCGTCTGGGCATCTTTGTGCACCTTTCACAGTTTGTTTATTGAATAGGAACCAAACTTTTTTGTTTTTTTAACATCCATGTTAGAGATTATTTTTCTTTGATTGCATCAACACTGTCCCTTCAGCAGTGTTGTGTTGGGCTGGAGTTGTTATTGAGSTCCTGTGTGCTGCTTGAAGCTAATATTGAACAGAAAGGCAATCATGGTACATTCTGAAAGTTASTGTAGGGTTCTTTAATATGCTACTGCCTAAAATTAAAAGGATTAATACTTGTATTGTGACATTGAATCTCTATTAGCTCTTGAAATATTCAGTCAAAAGTGTTTTTAATTAGTTTTTCATTCTTAAACATTCTATGCCAAGAGTGACTTGCGTAAGGTTTCAGCTTGAAATTGGTTCTGGTTACCAAAGCACAGAAAACTCATGTTCATTTGCAATCCCCTGAAATGGCTTCTCTGACTGTTGGGCACAGCATAAGAATTAAATTCCACATACGCTACTTGCAGTTTCATTCTGAAAGACTGTCTGGAGAAAGGCAGGAATGAAAGTGCTCTTTCAGCTACAAGTACAGTACTTCAGCAAAAATCAAATTTAGCTGTCGTGTGAGGTCAATGGGGGCTTTGTATGTTGAAAGCAAGTGCTTCTCTACTGGGGTGGGGGAGTGCAGTCAACTGCTGAAATAAGCTTAATTGCAGGTTGAAGCTGAAAAAGATACTATCAGAATTTGCTTGTCTTCCTGCCTGTTCATCTTCCTTGTCTTACATCCTGAATACGTTCTCACAGAAGGCCTGACTTGTTTCTGTGTTGCTGTTGGCTTTGCAACCCAGAGATTTGCTGTTGGTATCAATTTCACATGTTTTGGGGAAATRAAATCAAAATGGAGTGGATGTGGGTGTGAGAGGAGATGAGATTTCTCTGGAAACAAAATAATGGGAAAGTTGTTTGTGTTTGGCTTCAAATACATCTTATGTAAAAGCAAATMTTTTTTACTGTGGTACTTCTTACTGTGGTTTAATCTAGTTTTATAACATGGCAATTGGTGAAGTAGTCAAGTATCTTGAAACCCTTTTCCCACTGGATTTTTTCCTTTTTGTTTGGAAAGTATATTGATGTTACTTGMAAGATTGATTTTTTTTTTCCAGTAATACTGCTTATCTTTGGCTTGACTTGCAAGAATTAAAATTACCTATGCTTCAGCTTACTTTCTAATCAGGAAATGGTGGACCTAAGTTGATCTGGAATTCAATAATTGATACTTTGATATGCCTAGTTTCTTAATGAGAAGTTACTTTTTCTTTCAAAATTGGTAAAAAATAAAAGGGAAATTATTTATTTATGGAGAGGGGAAAAATATGAAATCATCTCACCAAGTGATGTGCCAAAAATGATTTACAAGTTAGAGCATTTGATAATAGTTAGGAGCCTTCAGAACACTGATGGAAGTGGTCATTTGTTGTAATTTTCTTGTAAATATCTGGAAACTTACTTAATACAAGCCAGGGGAAAAAACGATACCCTTTTTATGAAAAACAAATTTAATGATTTTAAATAACAAGGTGACTCGTATATCTCTTACTTCTCATTTTTAGTATATATTCACACAAAATTTGTTAATAGGTTATGTGTACCTGGTCTAATATTTTTGACTGAAAGGGTGATTTTCTCTTAGTGTGTGAAAAATCRTAATATGGGGTTTGTGGTAAGCAGTTGTATCATCTTTCACTAATGACGCAGTGACTAAACAGTGACACGTGAATTCATGTGACTGTTGTTAATTATAATTACTATGCAGCAAGTAAGCCTTTGTTACCATACTTGTCTCTTATTTTATAGTTCTCTTGCACAGTATCAGGTGTTTGGGTTTCAGCATAAGTGTCCCCCTCCCCTACTCCCCTTACCTGACTGCCAGAAGCAGTAATACTTCCAATATTTGCTAAAATTACTTTTCTTTGTGGGGCAGTGCTGGGAGGTGGGTCATGCAAAGCTTACATATGACTGTATTTGTGTTATTGGGCAGACTTTATAGACTTTTTGGGAAAGGCCACYGAGTTACCCACAAGGCATTTTTCGATGGAAGGTCTTTTTGCTGAGCTATAGGAAATTCCAGATTTTCAAATGTCAGTTTTAAAAGAAGGTTTTTCTCAGGCCTCTAAATACTGGTTTGTGTGTATCAATTTCAGGTTTATAGAAGAAGGGAAAATGGCTCAAGAAACTAACCGTAGCCAAGTGCCTATGCTTTGTTCCACTGGCTGYGGATTTTACGGGAACCCTCGCACAAATGGCATGTGTTCAGTGTGCTACAAAGAACACCTTCAAAGGCAGAACAGTAATGGTAGAATTAGCCCTCCTGGTAAGTAACACCATCCTACGTGTGTGTGAACAGCTCAGCCTGATGGGCAGCAGCTTCCTGGCCATGTCCAGATACTGATTGTTGGAGCATTAGTGCAAACCATTTCATTCCAGTGTCTTACCTTATGGAATGGGCTTGGATGGAATGCTCATAATGTAATTGTGCTRCCATTAATCTGCTCAGAAGGAGATTCTTGCTAATACCTTTTGTATTGTTTCCTGTTTGAAGATTAAAAAAAAATGCACAAAAACCACTACACCARCATATTTTTTTTCTGAAATTACTAGACAGTAGAGGTAGGATTAAGCTTGGGGAATATTTGTGAAAAGCATTTMAAGTACAGGTGTTTCATCTGTGCAGCCTCATGCTGAAGGTTTAATCTGTGAACACTTGATAGTTTCTCCTTAACTTCAGATATTTTGTGTTCTTTTTGGCTCAGTGTCCCGTGTACTGYCACCTTTCCTACAACCTTTAAATTGAAGCAATAGCTTCTGTCGAAATCTGAGGATCTAGGTTCTACACCTTCAAAATGCATCTGGAGTTGGCATTAGGATGTTATGCTGGTTTKCTCACAGATCCATCTTGAGTTTTTAAACAAAACTCAAGATTCTCATGTCAGAATACTTTAATTTGTGCTGAGAAAGCTGCTTGTAGACACTTCCATTAGCAAAAAATAGTAACCATTTTAAACCTTCAGCTTCAAAATTTTCTGCAGTGTAAATTCTGGGGCCCTGGGGCTGGAATGAGATCAAAATGTGGCCAAACATAATTACTTTTTTGTAGAATTACGTTTCGTTCTGGTGTAGGCAGAGATTCAATTACTTTCCTGGTTGGTGTCGTAGGGGTCGAAGAGTAATTGCAATGTGTAACTTTTGTAATCCCAGGAAGTAGCATAACACATTTTCTGTGGGTGTGTGTCTTGCAGCAGCCTCTGTCAGTAGTATCACYGAGTCCTTACCGGTCCAGTGCACAGAGGGCAGTGCCCAGGAAACTCAGTCCACTTTAGATTCTACATCGACTCCATCTATGCAGCCAAGGTAAGATGCTTYGGTCTGCTCTGCATCTTCATGGGAAAATCTGTGTCAAAATGATTAAATGWAGTGTACTGATCCTGTATAATTCAACSCTGGCACCAGGGTTAGGGAAAGGTKTAAGATTTCAGTGCTAGCTTAAAACATGGGATCTCAGGGTGAATAGGAGCAGATCTCTGCGCTTCATCTGGCATTCAGATGGAAATTTGTCTTTAGAATTTAGCCTCAAATAGAAGTAGTCAGCTTCTGTTCTACAGAGATTTGTCTGGCTGCTCTTCTGATTCCACAACTTGTGGTTGTATATTTACCAAAGGAGAACTCTTTTCATCCTAGAAATTTGAGGACTTTGTAAAATGGCAGGAGCTGTTTACTAGAGCTCATAAATAAATGTATGATAATGTGTTAACAAGCCAGTTGCTTTGCAAAGATTGGAGAGTACTAGAACAGGAGAAAGAGATGAGTCTTGGTACAAGTTGTGCTACTGAACTGATCTCTTATTAAACAAGTAATTTCCATCTGGATTATTCAAGGATACATAATGTCCTCTTGTAAATCACTCAGACATACTAAGTGTTCTCCATTTGTAAAAGCTAAATATTTGTTTATATTTAGTGGCTGCATTTCAGTTTAGAATGACACAACCAACAGCGACTTAAGTGCTTCGAAATTTTTTGAGTGAAAAGTGTTAGTGTGTTACATACTATGGAAGCTAACTTGCAGTAATACTCATTTCAACTTTCCTTTAAAAAACTGAATGTAGTAAAACACAGGCTGAGGGTGATTTCATCAGTTACTGCTGACTGATTGTGCTCAGACTGYTTTCTGCTCCCTAGCTTTTTATAGGAGGTGTTATTTCATGCTTGGATCCTGCATATGAACTGAGAGCTAGGTGCCATGCTTGATGCTATATTTAGTCTTTCCATTCTGAGGTTTCTAGTTGGGGTAGAAAATACATATCTTACCCTGAAACAGCTCTTCTGATATGTGTAAAAAAAAAAGTTCATCCAGGTCAATGCACAGATGTGAACCARTTACAGTGCCTTGCCTTTGTTCTCTCACAACTTCAATAAAACCATGAAAGAATAGAAGTACCTCACTGATCACTGGCTTGATTGCTGGCTGCAGGAGAAATGAGTGGATGGTTGCTCTTGGACCTGCACTTCAAAAAAATCAGTGTCACTTGCTTTTTCTCCAAAATAAACAAGTGGGAATTCAACTTTGGTCTCTGGAAATACCTCAGACTTACAATACTCTGAGGACAGATATATTAAACTGACAATGCTCTTTGGTAGGTGGCCAGACATGCAGCWCAAGACCCTCACGCAGTTCTTGACAATTAAAATTGTGACTTCAGTGCTCTGGTTGTGTCACAGAGTGCTGGTCATGGGCTGCTGGATAATCTGTTTCTTGCCTTCAGWTTGAATCCCTAAATGGAAAGGAAGAAAAAAAAAATAATGCAAATGAGCTGGTGCTACTTCTTACTTGGGACTTGAGCTCTGTTGTGGTCCATAGGAGCGCTGCTGGATGAGCAGCTTGGCTGGGAGGGGCTGCTAGTGTTGAATTGCTCTCTCTCAACTGTTGAGAGGGTTCATTGCTGAGTGTTCAGCCATGTGTGGTTTAGCAGTATGGCTAGGGGGTTGGGAAGTTTGGCCAGCACCACTTTACACTGTGAAAATCCAGGAGATTCTGTGTGCAGCTGCTGCAACTTTATTACTGGAAAYATTGACATAMTGCRATTTTCTCATTCATATCACCAGAACACTGAAAGTAGCTCCTCTACAATTACCTTGCTGACTTTATGTTATAAAAGATCCTTGCATATTGAATGTTGCATTGTTGCTTCTGTGTGGAGTGATGGTATGCCAAACCACCCGAAGTATTTTTCCTTTTTTATAGTGGAACTGTTTTATTGCATTCAATATAGATGCAAAAAAAAAAAAATTCCCTTTGTGTGACTTCAGATTGTGGCGGTTTTAAATGTTTACAGAAACAACTTTAGAGTGAAAAGTTCTGGCATMCTTTTTCATCAAGAGGTGCCCTAATTTATCTCTTACAGGGAAAGAATGTGGAAATGCATCATAAAAATCATAACTTTTTTCTTTTGCTCCTCAGCCCTGTGTCAAGTCAGTCACTTTTAACAGAATCTGTAGCGTCATCCCAAGCGGATAGTACGGCTGTGGACAAAACAGTACCTGAGACAGAAGAGTTGCAAGGTTGGTGCCTGGTTTTCAGAGACAGAACTTATTAATAATGTTCTTTAAACTTGAACTGTTCTTAATACACTCCTGTTGGAGAGATGGCTGATTCTCAAATACAGATACCWGTGAAATCAGAAGGCAAAATAAGGCTAAAGTTTCTCTTCATAAAAGGCAAGTCAAACTGAAACTTTTTGAAAAGGTTTTTGAAAATAGAAAAGCTTTCCAAGCAAATTTTCTGAGGCATGTCTTTCTCCTTAACCATTTGGATAATTTGTGCTCCTTTTAATTCTCTGTCTCTCAAGCTCATTCTCCTTATGTGAAGGTAAGAGGTTTCTCATCCAGAATCTTTGAATTTAGGGATGTATCTGCATTTTACAGTATGTTTTTCGTGGATCAACCTATATCAGGTGTTTAGATTACTCAGCTGTGTCCTCTGTCCTTTTCTTTGTACCTTGGTTTCTAAACTAAGAGCACCACCAGCATGTAGTTGCAGTTCTAAATTACAATCCCTATTTATAACTGTGGCAGGGTCAGCCTTATTTCCTTAAGAGTTCCTTCTGTGTTGTTTCTTAACTGAAAATCASASGAAATGYAGTGTTTCCAGTTTTATTTTCATTTRAAAAATATAAGTTTGGAAGGAAAGCAGCTTAGAATAGATGCTGAGAGGATTTCTTTGAATTACTGTCACAACTGTGCATCCTAAAGTTCGGGGCTTTTTTTAAATTTAAATTTTAGGTTGCTGACAATGTAATACAAACATGGGAATCAAAGTGTTTTTTTTAGTATTGCCTAAGTTCCTAGCATTTAGAACAAGAGGAAGTCACAGCAGTGTTGGTCCCAGAGTGAAGAGTGTCTGATGCTACTTGTGTTGATGTAGGGGAGCAAAAGGAGAAATTACGTCAATATTTATTTTGATAAAATCTTGCCTTGTGGAAATGCCTGTCTGGGGCAAACTGTTCTGTGCTGCTGGTATGAGTTAATGTATTGTGTTGAGTTGAGGTCCCCTTAACTTGCCATTTAACAAAAATTACCAGGCTACAGCAACACTGAATGAAAGACTGGGTGAAYAATTAAGCTCTCTTAGATTACTATTATTAAATTTCTAAAGCAGACAGATAAATGGGACTTGAGCTGTGTGCAAAACAGTCCTTGCTGTTTGCAGTCAAGCTGRAACTACAAAGGCATAAAATTCCCAAAGACCAGTTCAGTCATCACATTTAACTTACAGACTGAGCACTGGCACTTGGTCATCTAAAGTTGGCATGGTGGTTGGGATATTTGTGATGATCATAGAGGATCTTGGTTTAAATTTCTGGATTCGATTCGAAAGCAAATTAAGACCTAAAATTTAGGGTTACTACAGTAGATACAAAGTAACTCATGGTGCAGTAGAAGAATCTTCCCACTCAGTTCTACACYGAGCAGCAGCTCTTAAATATTTTTAAACCTTTTTAATGTGAGAGCCATACACAGAAAGAAAATGCAAGTAGGGATGTATGAGAGCCTTGTTATGCAGGGAAGAGTGCCAGTTTTTCCTAAATTTAGCTAATGGTTACAGAGGCTCTTAGTGAGACTTACATTGAGGTAACTGAATTTTGCTACAACAGGAAATGCAAGCTGGAGGATATTAGCTCACGGCTCTAAGATGTCTTAATGAATAAATAAACACTGCAATATCTGTTTTATATAAAACTGCAAAAGTTTTGGGTAAATCTTACCCCTTCTGGTACTTACTTCACCTCTTTTAGTCCTTGCTGCTTTTGATTCTTATCTGGCAATCCTTTTGGTATTATGCCCACTCAAAAATGTGCCCTTTAACAGCCCTTTAAAGCCATTGAAACTACTTTTTTTTTGCTAAACCTATCAATTGTTAGAAATTTCAGGACGAAGAAAAGCTCTACTTGTAAAATAGATGGTGATTTAGAAGGTTTTAATAAACCATATMTAACAGTATCTCTGCTAGTTTAACCTGTGGAATATACCATCCCCTCAGGCAAAGTCCTTGCTGGTGATCAGGTATCCTGCTATCCACTGATGTTACTTAGTACAATGTTTTGATACATAGCAAAAGTGATGAGTGCCCTTTCCTTTCAAAAAAAAAAAAAAATCAAAATAGCAGCACATGATTTGTGCTGGATTTGTCATGCAGAAGAGCTGTCAACTGGCATAGAACTAGCACAGAACTGCATCTGACAGTCTCTGACAAACAAAAGTCCAGCTGCACAGAGATGCCTGCAGCTTTTTCCCTGACAAATGTTTGAGCTTGCTGTTGTATTCCCTTCCTCACAGCATTGGTTCTAGCTCTGCTTCCATCGATGCTYCTCCCAGCTGGAGCTTGCTTTTGTTCTTTGCAGCAAATACTCCTAATTTTTGTGTATCTTACTCACTGGAGACTTGTCCTGCTGTGGTCTAGCTGTGTCTGGTAGGCAGAGGTTGGCTCTTAGCCTTTCCTGAAATGAAGTTGGGTTTTTTGTTTCTATTTCTGTTTAGTAATGTAAGGAATGTGCAAATACTTGAGGAAAACCAGCCAACTTCTATTTTTACCTGAGTCAGGCAAATACTACCATTACTTGTTTGTACTCTCCCACACAACCTGTAACCTGTTGCTTTTAGATGTAAGAGAACACTAAAGTAGGTTGAAAATTGCCTTAGGAAAAATGTCTTTAAAATTAGGTTTTTACCTGCTTCTTTCTGGGCTCCAGGATGCTGTAGTTCACCCTAAGTCTATTGAGCTGGTGTTTCTCACACCAGGCAGTGATCAGCTCTTGTGTAAGGTTTTTCCAGGTGTACAAGAGCAGCAGCATCACAGGGGTAGGGATTGTTCTGAAATGCTGTGTTTTGTGTGGTTTCCATGTTGCAGCCTTCAGCAAAAAGAATGTTGATTCAGGATTTAAAAGAGGTCGTCTGGCTTAACTGATGCTGTTACAGTGCTTCTTATAAGCACATTCTGTGGGGAAACATTTGGCTGTTGGATTTTCTTCTCAGATCTGATGGTGCTGAATCACACTGTTAAACCTAATGTTTATTACTGTGCTTTTTATGATATTTTCAWGCATTTTTGAGTTCTCTCCTTAAATTATAGTGAAGGTCTAGAAGGAGGGAGTTCCAGTCACTGCAAAGAGACCAATGCACTTAAGACTTGGAAGCTGCAGCAAAATGGGCAAATGTACAACATGGGCTTTAGATTATTGAAGGACTTAAAAGAAAAGGGAAGAGAGAGCCTTTTTTCTCTCCACTGTTCTTACTAACTTTTTTAATGTCAGCTTCAGTGTCAGAGAAYGCAGAGCCTACACCTGAAGAACAGGACAAGTCACTTGACAAACCAAAACAGAAAAAGAATCGTTGTTTCATGTGCAGGAAGAAGGTTGGACTTACTGGTAAGAAATACTGATTTCAGTTTCCTTAGGCTTGCTTTGGCTTTTGGACCTTTGAAATATTATCTTAAAGGGAAAATGGAGCATGGTCATCTGATGTTGATTTGAAATAACAGTCCAAGGTGCTTTCAGCTGACTCTTAACTGGATTAGTCATTTATGTATCATTTTGTTTTTCAGCCTCCTGTCTTTCAGTGACGTTCATAATTCCAAATACTTCCTTTTGAAAGTCTGCTGAGGATTTAGGATGATAGTTTGCTGCCATTCACTAGTTAGCTTTGCAGTGGTTCAGGGAAAGGGCCTGACTTCTGCAGGGTGAAGATTTATAAACACAGGAAAAGAGCAGGAGTTCTCTAGGAATGTTCTGTGTTAGTGTCATGCAAAAAGAAGCAATGGTCAAGTTCAAATCTTGCTGTAATCACTTTAAAATGTATTACTTGTGATTCTTATGCTTTCTGCAGCAGAGGCTCTTTGGCTGATTGATTGCCACTGGTGACTGAGATTTATTGCTAGTGAGTGAACACATTCAGGATTTAAAACAAGCCAGTGTAATTAAGAATGTGGAAATGTCTGAGCTGCTGTTTCTGTCCACAGGGTTCGAATGTCGGTGTGGGAACGTTTACTGTGGAATGCACCGTTACTCAGATGTACACAGTTGCTCTTACAATTACAAAGCTGATGCTGCTGAGAAAATCAGAAAAGAGAATCCTGTAGTCGTTGGGGAAAAGATCCAGAAGATCTGAACTGCTGCTTCTGCTGGAATACAAAAATCTTCTGACCATCTGCAGATTAAATTGACTTGAGCTTTTTTCCTTAGTCATCAGGAACGTAGAGCAGTGTATCTTGCCTAGACCTTTTAATCATGCATGTCATCAGATGAATAGATTTTTTTKKTTTYSKTTTTTTTTGTTTTGAAAATGACTCTGAACATTATTTTCATTGCAGTTTTCTGTGGCTGAAGACTTAAGTAAACTTTACAAGTATTATCCTTTAAGATCATTTTAATTTTAGTTGAGTGCAGAGGGCTTTTATAACAAAACGTGGAGAAAATATTGGAGGGCTGTGCTTTTCCAGGATAAAACATGCATGCGTTAACTTTGCAGTTTATTTTCTTGTTGTATATAGCTTTTCTCTGCAGCACAATTTCCTTTTTTTTTTTTTTGATAATGCCTTGTATGGCACAACTAGTTATCAGTAACTGAATGTATTTTAATCATTATGGCTGCTTCTGGTTTTTTTTCCCATTAACGAGAGGTTATACATGTTCGCATATTAGCTTGTTTGCACCCTCTACCTATTTATGTATGAATCATTTGTAATGAGAGTGTGTGCTGAGATTGTGTGGGTTTTTTGTTGTTTTCTTCTTTTTTTTTAATTGGGGTTTGTTTTTGTGTGTGTGGGGGGAAGGCTGTATGCACTTCATTGACTGCAGTTTTCATTGGGATTACATCCATCAGTTTGTCTGTACACAAATATGAAGAATGATCTGAAGTACCTGTGCTGTATTTATGTTTATCCACGTCTTAACTTTGATTAAATAAAATTTAAAAAAATCCRAGCCCCTGTGGCTGTCACTGGCATATGTAATTTGTATTTCTCTTGCTTTATTTGAAGGGGGACCTTCCATTGGTGGTTCCTTTACTTAAAGTGTATTTATTCACAGCAGCCATGTGTGTGTTCCAATGCCAGCTAAATTCTGATTTTTTTTTCTATCTTTTCACCTGTAACTTCCAGAGACACTGCAGTTTCCAGACCTTGTCTGTTGATTCTGCCCAGGGAGTTCTCTGTGCTTTCTGTGCAGGAGTTTGGGTCATTTGTGACATTGTGACAATGTTCTTTAGTTGGGCCAGACCTTGAGGTAAAACAGATGTGGCCAGTGACCAGGCTGTGGAGCTGTGTGAGATTCTGGTTCCAGGAAATCGTGGATCCCAAATCCCTCCTGACAGCAGTGCTGGAGGAATTGTTCTTTCCTTGCCTTGTGAGGATGCTCAGTGAGTTTCTTTCCTCAAGGCTGCCTGTTCTGAGAGCAAAGTCTGTGCTCAGCCCTGCTCATCTCCATAACTTAAAGGTGTTTTATGTAGTGCCATGGAAACTTCAGCCAGTGCTGCTTGTCACCAAACCTAACACTACACCAAAAAAGTAGCACCAGCTCCTCTCCAGATGGTCCTGATTCCCAGTTGGAATCTCACTGGCTGACTTGCTGCTGCTTTGGAGCATTTGTGAAACAAATGTGATTGCACAGCTTTATTTAAAACATTAAATTTTTAATCAAAGCTGGCTCCATTCTTTAAAATTCGGAATGCTCTTTAAAAGCTATGGCTGGCAATTTGTAGATAAAGCAGTTAGCATTTAGTAAAGCATTTAGGATATAAACTGCAGCAGAAGGAGCTTTCTCTGGTAGTTACAGAAAGTAATGTGCAAGACCGAATAATAAATGAGGTAGCTTCTGCTTGCAAAAATGGCCTAACCACAATCCACGAAGCACACAGAGTTTATAGGAAAGGAAGGAAGGAATAAATAACTTACTGGCAAGTTTAGTAATGGTCTGCCTTATCACGGGTCAAAGATCCCGTGTTTCCTCAGAGCATTKGCTAAACTTCCTCTTACACAGCTCMGAGCATGGAAGAGCAGCAGCGTCACCCTTGGTGGTGTTTTCTTTCCTCTTTGCTGCTCCTTCCCTATCCCCTGATTCTTCTCATTTGGATTCATCCCTCTTMCCAATTTCTGGTGTCTCTTTTCCATAATGTGTCCTTTTCTCCCTCCGTGCTCTCCTGACTAACCTGCCTTTCACCTGACAGTGATGCTTGTGGGCMAGGCAGAGGAGACCCCATAGATTTCACAAGGTGAGGGAACCTGTTACACTTGAGTTTTCTGGTGTCTGAAAGAAGAAATGGTACAAGAGAAGTATTCACGTAACTCCCTTTACCACCACCTGCTACAAAGTGAATTCCCTCTGACTCTGGATCACAGGGCAGGATCTTTGCCTGGCAGGGGAGTTTTGCTTCCACTCTTGTCYTTCTCCAAGCAATCTAATAAACCTCCTTTGGCCTGACTGGTGCAGGGGGCTCAGAGTTAATATGGAAGGATTTTATGGTCCTGTTGTGTAAACCTGCCTTTAGATTGGAAATCCACCTTTCTGTGACACCTGAGAATTGCGTGTCRTGTTTGTTTGCTTTGGCAGTGGCTCTGCGTTATCCTGGTGGTTGATCTGCTCTTCAATCTGTGTTTTGTGTCATCAGCTTGAGGTTGGCAGATTAACATTTTAATTAACATTGGCACATTCACAGCACTACAAATCGCTTGAGTAAATCTGTCTTCTCATGTTGGATGCTATTGGGACAGGTTTTCAATGTGGTTTTGTTTCAGTTTTGGAATAAGCAGGTTCTGTAACCCAGATTCTGTAATCTGGCCACAAAACATCTTCACTGTGTTTAAAACACTTCCAACAGTCAGAGGAAATTTTCCAGGAAGATTTTCCCAAATTTGTGCTAGGCATTGTGTTGTTCAAATACGACCCCTTTTCAACAGCATCTTGTGAGCTTGTGTCTCAAGCAGTGAATGGCTGTCACAGATGATGCTGTGATGGCATCTTGCACTCAATGTCTGGCTCTACAATTTGCTGCATTTCTTCTAATGACTCCTCTGCCYTTAAAAACCCCAGCATGTTCAGCAGCAAGCCAATTCTTTAGCTTGGCTATCACAGGCATCTTCCTGTTAATGGAAAGAGGTGGTCTTTGCTATTTAGTTCTCATTTCAAGGATGTTCCCTCATTGGTTTCTACTTGTGAAAATGAGAACTGGGATTGGGAGCAGGACAGGCCTMCCTGCTCTTTATGGTTGGCTGCATCTATGTTCTCGTTCTAAGATTGTGGAACTGTGGAGAAAATGGAASGCCTTGGTGAGATGCAGCAGCATTGCAAAACTGAAAACCATACAAAGTGCAGTTTCAGGTGTGAATTGTGCAACTTCCCAAGGGCTGCTGATCTCCTGGTGGGAGAACGCTGAACAGGATCATTTCACCAGTGCCCTGGCACATAAGTGACCCCTCCAGAGTTGAAGGAGGGGAGTTACTGCTGCTCTTAGAGCTGCTGGATCCATCCCCTGTGGTGAGATACCTGTTACAGGAAAGCCTTGGTTTCATGTGAGGGTTTGTAAAATCATGGAAGTGTTAAGGTTGGAAACAGCCTCCAAGATCATCAATCATATCTGCTAGCCCAGCTAAGGCCACCCCTAAATTAAATGCCACATCTGAGTACCTCGAGGAAGGGTAACTGAGCAGGCAAAGCCCATTTCTGCAGGGTCGGAGCAGGTACCAGCTGCTGACTCAGCAAACCTCTGGCACTGATTAACCACGGGCAGAGGGGTGGGATGGTGAAGGAGCAGCGATTGGTTTGTGTCTGGGGACAGAGGGTGGGATTTGATGCTTCTCTGCTCTGGGTTCCACCACCTGGAGAGGATCTTCCTCCTCRCAAGGCACGCAGCACCTGGAGCTGGGAGCTGCTCAAGGTTCAACATGTCTTTCATCCAGGTGGACAAGGACTCGGATTTTCCTCTCCAAAATCTCCCCTATGGGGTTTTCTCCACGAAGGAGGAGGTGAGTAACAGCAAGCTTTGTTCTTGGGATGTTGTGATTGTTCCAGGACTGTGAGAGCAGAATTTCCCAGCCTGAGACACTCTCAGGCTTCCTGACTTGATGGCAAAGCTGTTGCTGCCACATTGTTCCCTTGGTGTGGTTATTTTGATGGTAACTTCTTAGAAACTGCACAAAAGAAATCAGAAGTGTTAATACTGATGAGAAGTACTTGGGCTAATATGCACAGTAATTCTTGTATGGTTTTGACCATTTTTGTGACATTAAATCTGTGTTTGACCTTTCACTCCCTACATAGATACTTGCCATATTCCACACTCAACTTTCYCTTTTTAACTTAATCCCTCAGTTTCTTGGACTGCAATCACACCGTGGCCCTTAAGAAGCCCCATTAACTACTGCTCTTGGTGGGTTTTGTTGGTGGCTGCCAAAGCATTAAACCAGGGCACCAAATGTGTGTTTTACCTGTTTTTGCAGCTGACCCGTTGTGTTTTATTGGCCATATGTTTATGCAGTGCTGCATTAAATGTGTGTTTAAGGCTGCAAATGTGTCACGTTAAAAGCTGTGCCCAAAGGCTGCAGGCTGAGCCAGCTCCAGGCCTTCTATTTTATGATCACATAAGAAAATGTGGCTCAAACCTTCTGCCAAGGAGGCAGCTCCCAATTCCCAATTTTCATGAGAAATGACCCTAGCTAGACTGAACCTCACACCTCTGAATGCCTGACAGGATGGAACTCAAGAGATGTGTCCTTCTGGAGAAAGGGAAACAATCCAAGAGCTGCTTCTCGGAAAAAAAAAGTGGAGAATGTATTTGTCATTGCTTATGGAAACATTTTGTGATTCCTGGTTCCTGCTGCTTATCCGTGTAGGTTTAAAAAAAAAAGCAGAAGATTGTGTTTTCTGATCTTCTCCAAAGATAAAACTGAGATGGTGCATTTAATCTGTTCCTAGATGTGTGTGCTGTTATCTGGCAAGTTTGGATTATTTTTCTCCCTTCCTCAGTAACTGTTCTCTGAAAAAAGCATCTTCACTGAAACATTGTGAAATGACAGGCAAGACTTACAGAAATTATTCAGGAGAACAATGTTCTGATAGTAGCTGAACRTTTTAATGATTTCAGGCTAAAACAATTGGTGTCATTCCTGACTCTCCCAGTTACAAATTAACCTGACATGACCTTTAGTTTTTTCTCTGCGGGAATGTTTGCTGAATAAATACTTACCACCACTTTTGGAATCTTGCTTGGAAATTAAAGGTTAAAAAATAGGTTTAATAGCATGGATGTCTGAAGATGGTTATT